GCTTGTATATATGGCTTAGCAATGAGATGGGCCGATAGTTCTTGAGTAGGGTTTTGTCTCCCTTTTTGAAGAACAAAATAACTTAATAATTAACGCAACCCTATTCGACACACTGGAGATTTCTACAACATTGCCTACGAGGGTCTTATGGACCAAAAATCCGACACCGCCTTGGGAAGTTTGTTCTCCCTCTCTAAAATACATAAGATGGCCGGATTCCAGAGTCATGGTGTCCTCCCCCTCTCTTCGGGCTTCGCAAAGACCTAGGATATGCCATCTTATGTATTTCAGTTCTTCTTCCAGTTGCGCAAGGTGTTCGTCCAGTCGCAGTGTGCGTCCATTATACGTAGCCAGGGTCAGTGGGTGTTGGCGGCCTACCGTAGCCCGGGGATTCTTAGCACCCCTTGCTCTACCGTTACCATGACCGCCGCCTTGGCCAGGAATAGCAGAGCGGCCGGGAACTAGGGGCCATGGTTGTGTTGGACTTGTCATGGGAGGAATATGCCCATAATCGCCACGCTGGGCATGCGGGTTGGCGATCGCAGTACACAGTTTCTCGAACCGATGACGCTGCTGCCCATCATCAGTCTATGGAATTTGTAAACTGTGTGTGGATAATTCTATCCACACACAGTTTACAAATTCCATATAACCATTCGGTTATACCGCCATTTATCGGTCGTCAGAGCCTCGTCCGTTGTTTAGCAGGATGTACCGCGAGCAGGTGAGGTTGACCTAGAGCACTGGGTTGGTGTTTGGGCTCCCTTACATCCCCGATTATAATATATTATAACATGTAAACTACTGTCTAATATTGATCGTATATAAGTATTTGTAAATAAATATGAATCTTTATATTTGGTAGGTTTAACACAATAACTTATAAACGATTGTATGATTTCAATATTTAGTAAACAAATGAACCTTATCCTTAATGGATAATTGGTCATTGCAACCTATTTGTGTAACGGATTCAAATATGTTTCAGGATAGCTTGATGAGACAAAAAAAGGGATTTAACAATCTAAGTGTATGCGGGAGTAAGCTCCTCTGAAACCGCACTGTCCGAAACCACTTATGTGGCGACCAGTGCGATGGTAAAAGTTAGCCGTGGGCATCATTTCAAGCAATTCTTCAGAACACAGTCTGTTGTATATTCGGTAAAATACACAAAGCAATGCAAAGTCTCGCCTCAAGCTAAGCTATACTTGAGAGATTGGGATCATCGATTTTCCTGTTATTTTCACGTGTCACTTTCAACCCACCTACATTGTTAAAAGTAACAAATTATGAGTTTTAAAACGTACCTGTTATTCATACAAATATACAATGATAATAAAGATACTAATGTAGACGAACTTTACACTTACTTATAATAATAATATCTAACCAAAAATCAAGATATAAGAATCTTGATTTTTGGTTAGATATTATTATTATAAAGAAACTAATAAAGTCAGGTGTCAAAACAAAATGTTACTTTTGTCCTATGTGCCGACATAATTGTATAGGCGCTATACAGACTTAATTTTAACCATATAATGATAAAAAATGTGCTTTTATAATAAGAATATATCAAAGGATCATAGTCAATTAACTAATGGACATACGTGTACTGAATGGAGACACCCACCTTTTACTAATTGATTTGTTTTATACGACAACGGCCACACCCACTGTGTGAGCCTAGGTATCTATCTATAGGTACAATTCAATAAGAATAACAATATACTGCTATTTATAAAAATAAACCAAGATCTTAATGTATCAAGTATTACTTGAAGAACACATTTTACATTAAGTTCCAAAGAAAATCATTTATAGTTTTTCCATGTATATAACTTACGACTTAAATAAAATCAACAAAAATATTTAAATAAACAATATTAATATGTTTATAAAATGAGAAACTAATTAAAATCCTAATGGAGTTTAATGATTTCATTCAATTATATTTTAACTAAATTTATATATAATACTTTTTTGTACCTACTTACACATAATTTCTTAATATTCTGTTTTCTTTTATATTTTTTAAGGTGCAATAAAGAGTAAATAATAAAAATATATTTGATGATCTCATAATATTGCAGTACTGTACTTTACAGGTAATTATCGGAAGATGATAGGAGAATCAATGTAAATGTGTGTTTCTTCATTTTCACTTCAATCAAAATAGACATTTTCATTTTTAAAATCCTCTAATTATATATATTCAATTGTATCTAGTTCAAAATATATGATTACCAGGCATAAAGATCTACATACATCAGTTATAATAAAGTGCATTTCGAAATCAATATCAGGTCATCGACGCTGCGATATATTTTTGATGATTACATGACTTTAAGTAAGGGTTTGTACATAAGGTATGACTGCTGTCGTTATGATAAAAATAAATGAAACCTATTGTCATATTTTATTCACTATGTAATAATTATATTATATCAATACATATGTATACTTATATATTATATTATTATTAAATTAATTAAACTTGAACTAAAAGGTCGGGAATTCAAATCTAAAAAAACTTTATGTATTAAATAAAATTTCTATATATCTCTCCGGTGATAGTAACACCGATAACAAAAGGAGACTAATCGGTGTAACAGGTACTCGCCACCTGCTAAGTTCATAAAAAAGATTTTATATTGTTGGTATGTATATCTCCTTTACATAAATAAATACTGACATAACAAAATAAAAGCTTATAATCGAAACATTGGTCATCAGCAAAATGAATCAGTTGCAACAATACTGTGCTGACAATGAGACTTCAAACTGGGTTGCAAATAAGTTGATGTTACGTTATGTTATGTGCATTAGTAAAGTGAAACAGTGATTTTATATTGAATTGCACATAATTGTAAGTACTGTTTTTAGTTTATATTATTTTAATTAGATTCAGACTGAATCCTGTGCGTTCTTTAGCTCATTCTTATATATTTACATCGTCGATATAGATTTACATACAATAAATGCAATAGAAATCTGAGTAGGTAAGGTAACTTAGTACTGCCATGTTCACTGAAATAAACAATGGCCGATTACGAGTGTCATGTTCGATGCTTAAAATGATATGCCGGCTAATACACACACATTAATTCGTAGTGGATAGCAATAATTATTATTTATTTAAATTCTAATTCAAATATAATTTAATCATGTAGGACATTTATGAACGCCAAATTTTTAAATTATCATTTAGAACAACATGTTCTTTAAATCCTAAGTAAGAATTATCTTTGTTGGTAAAAATAACTCGGGGATTTCATTTGTAGAGAAGAGACAGAATATATATTTGAATATTTATTATTTGATCAAATAAGCAAAAATATTTTAAAAAAGTAATAAATAATAAGTATCTCTAAAACGAATTAACTTTGTTATAATAAAACTCACCAATTTGATCATCAAACATGTAACACAATCATGATAAGAAAGAGACGGAGAGAGATAGAGAGCTTTACATATGAATTAAAATTTATTACTAAAATGTTTATAGTCAGCAATTCTCTTACGGCTAGATTCTTACTTTCCTATTATATTACTTTACGGGAAATGATAATTCATGTGGTTAATGACCTAAAATGCCCTTGTTCCTTAACATAGGTAAAACCTATACATGTACATAGGTAATCTTTGCGCGTATGTAACCTAAATATATTAAGCAAAGTGTACCTTTTTTCACTTAACAAAGAATATTTATATATATAGTCGTTTTATGTATTAAGTTAACGATACATTATTAGCAATTTTTAAGAGTTTATATTTTACCTATTTCGCCATTGATATGAAGAATTATAAATTATTTACCTCCCTGTTATATATTGTACCTATTTAGTCCATAATTATAGGAAGTATAAATAATATTATATCTTCGACAGGTGCGATAACAAGCGAATTAAATTGTCTCCTTTTCACGTAATTATATTCATTTTGTATAAACCTCTGATTTTAATAGCCTCCCACGCCGTAGGCGAAATTTTAATGGGTGCGATATACGAAATAAATCCTATTATGATTCGTGTAAACGTTTTCAAACCCGAAGGTCAATGGAAAATTCAGAAGATTTTTTCGTGTACTACTACCATAATGCAATCGATATGGTCGAAGAAATGTAATTACTTATTATTATATAGATACTGCTATTTTTTTTAAATAACTACGTATATCAGCGTCATGTACTATATATAAAAGAATATTCTTACATAAAATATATATGTCCGTCGTAAATAATATTGAATTAGGGTCGGCGTGTCGGCTATATATGTCACTTTCCATGTGAGGTATATTGGATGAAGAGAAAATTTTCGATGTAAGTTTATTCACCCACAATGCTATAGGTAGTAATTGGACAAAGCTTAGAAAATATACTGTAATATAATTACTTGTCAATAATAACTAAAGATGGTCTTTGGTTATTATTGAGAAGTAATTACACTACATATAGTGTAATAATGTCACTATTGCATTTTCACGATGTTAGTAATTGTTCAAGTGTGATTTGTGGACTTAGTAATAAATTGATATTTACTTTATGTAAAGTAAGCTTCGCTTTGACTATCTTTCTATTTCATATATACATAATTTGAAAATAATATTTTAAAGTCTCCTGAAACTAAAAATAACTAGGTAAATAAGTTTATTTAGTTTCAGTAGAAAAATTATTTAATAAGTTTTCTAATTGTTTTAATTAAACAATTTTTACTTTTACTCTTAAAAGAAAGCTAAATTCCATAAAATAAATGTTGTATGATTACATCCGCATCTATATTACAATTATAAGTGAGTTCATATTTAAATTTATTCTCTCTTCGGACGAAGCGATTTAACACTTTGAGATCTTGCGTTATCGTATCACCATTATACTCAAAGTTTGAACTTTTACCAGATGGACCACCAGATGGATGGCTTATTTGTCATGCTATTGTGATAATAAAATATTATCTGTTTTAATATCATATAAATAACGTTCAAGTTCTATCTTACAGAGAATGAAGGAAAGTATAAAAACAAAGAAAGATCACAACGAAGTACAAGGCCCTCCAATGTCACTTGCAGAAACAGTTACAAATAGTAAGTATTAAAATACACACGCAATATTTAAAGTTATTTTTAAGACGATTATGGATTCTATATTATTACTATATCTAAGTTGTCTGTTTTGAACGTACAGATTTATTAATGTTTAATTTTTTTTGGTAAGTAATAAGTTAAAAAATAATATTGAACTTTTCAGGTCGACGTTTAACCAGAATACGAATATGTTTTTGGCCAACCCTATTGATTATATTAGGTTTGATTGGAATTCTTTTAGCTATAAGGATATTACTAGTAAATACAGGTGAGTATTTTCATTAGTTAATCTAATATAATATTTATAGGTTATCACAAAGTATAATTTCAATATTTTTGTTATTTTAATTTCAGGTAATATAACTACAACTGAAATAGTTTCAGTTAAATGGATAAGTCAATCGAGTGAAATTTCAAATTTGACAATACAACAGAACAATAATGGTGTATATTATCACTTCCAAAATGAAACAACCAAAACGAAACAAAAAAGAAAAAAGAGAAATGCATATATAAAAAACGTAAAGAACAATACAGAAGAAGAAATTGACAAATATCAAAATATAGACATTCAAAAAGCTAGAGAAATTATAAAAAATCATAATGTACCATGTACAGAAAATAATAAAAACGAAATTTGCAGAGATCTTGTTACAAAATTAAAATTGCTTAGTAAAGACAATTTAGACGAGAAGAAAAGTAATAAATTAGACCGTACTCTTAAAACTCACTTACATAAAATTAGAGATAATAAAGATACAGCAAATATTTACATTAACAATGTATCTGAAAAATTGCAACAAAGAAATCACCGCATTGTACCCACAGATATAGCGAAACGAGAAACTGATCCGGTCGATATTTTTGATGTTCCAAAAGTTAATATTGATGTGCCGCATATTAGTAAAGGCAGAGAACAATATACAAATTTACAGCCATATCAAGTAAATGTTGTCCCTCAACAAAACTATCCTCCATCAGTACCATTAACTGAATCCTGTTTACTAGCTCGCCTATTGAAAGAAAAATATCCATACATACAAGGTACTTAAGTACAACGTACAATATAGGTAATTAAAGAAAATGTATTATATTATCAATTCTAATGAGTTATTTAATTGTTTTTGCAGGTTTGTATGATTCACCTGATAGTTATAACCCCCCAGTATCATATGGACATCCTACACAGCTATATCACAGGTCTGTCATTTATTATTATTATTATATCAAAACACCCAATAGTTTTATCTATTATCTTAAAGTTCTTAATTTTAATGAGACATTGAAATAAATCTGATGATCAGTGGCATCTCAAGTCAATGTTAACTATATGAATGAATAGTACCTACGTTGCTATTACGGAAGACTAAGATATTATGCCTCCTTGTAATTCTACTAATATTCTTAAACCGAAACACATTTTACAAACGAAACTGCTTTACGACTTGGTAAGACATCAACGCAGATGATTTTGTACAAATCTACTGGTATCTGGTAAAATACGACAAGTATTTTAACATCAATTCTATATCCGAATAACCACACAAAATATTAAGCTCAACTTCGTCACTTAAATCCTTTATGACGACATTGCATATTATGATATTTTTAAATAATAACATGATTTAAAATACTGTTGCAATGCAGCCTGATTTAATTTAATTTTTACTTTTATTTCTCTTTCATATATATTTTTGTAAACAACTAAAGAAATATTATATGATACAACGAGCGGAAAGATAGTGTATTCTTACTCAATCCTTCCCGGAAATATAAATCAATGTTCTTATTTCTTCTAACTTATTTATTTAATGTTGTTTCAGTTATTCTCCGCAAGTAACATCTAATACTTATCATAGAAGCCGTGAAGCCGAAATCCACAAACAAAAAGTCCATCCTCAAGATGTTGACATATTTATGAAGTATTTTAAACCTAAGTATGATATTATATATACATAATTGATAACTCTATTCTCATTATGGTATAACCCAAAAATTATTTTTGTTATAATTTCAAATATACACTAAATGCTGCATTGCAATTAATATCCAGTTATATTTATATACTTGTCCTTTTAGAAATGTAAAGATTTCAACAGAACCTCCATCACTTATATCCACCCGCGAAGCCCAATGTCCTGTAGGATTAGTATCCTGTGATAATGGTGATGACTGTGTATCTAAGAAACAATGGTGCGACGGAAATGTTGATTGCCCTGATGTCAGCGATGAATCAAGATGCAGTTGTATTTCAAGAGTAGATAAGACCAGAATCTGTGATGGGTATTTGGATTGCCCGTATGGTGAAGATGAAATGGGATGTTATGGTAATCATTTAAGTAATTATTTTTTTGAAAATGATGTTTCTATAGTACCTGTACGAACAAATATTGCACTTAATATCAATCAACAACGTTTCAATTATCACGAGATTATATGCAGTGGTGAATATGCTATGTATTAGTAAATACTATTAATTTAATTGATGACTACATTTTTAATAAATTCTATTCATAAATAACAATTTTAACAGGTTGCAGTGAAAATACGTTTAGCTGTGAAGACATTGACATTAACTCACGGAGCTCTTGCTTTAGTAAGGATCAAAGATGTAATAACGTTGTTGATTGTCCAAATCGTCGAGATGAACTTGATTGTAATAGCCTTTCACCCAGTTTGCACCAAAAACCGGTAACGTATATAGTTTTTAAATTTAAAATGAAGATAATTAGAAAATTAGAAAAAAGAATAATGGATAGATTTTATGAACTTAATAACTTTTACTTAATTAATCAGCTTTCAATATACGGCATTAATATCGCTACATTCATTTCGAATCTACAACGCTTTGTATCTATTATACACATATTTAGCTTTCATTCCATAATGGACATTTAAGCGATATCATTTATTGTGATAATTTTATAAAGTTCAATATTTACCAATTTAAAAAATAATTTTTACTATATTTGGTGATTTCTTTTGATTTTTTTTGTACAATATCTATTAATAATAATGTTATTCAGCCATCAAACAAAACAACTGTTAGAACTCATTTAAATAACATTGGAAACGAAAGTTTAAAAGCCAATCCATGTCATAAAGCTTAAAGCAAGAAATTATTCGAATGTGATTATGTATGCTAGGACTTTTCTCTTTCAGCTGGGGTAAACAAAAGCTCGAAAAATTTACAACATCCTGTTTTTTACTTAAAGTATTCGTATTTTTTTGTCCTTTTTAGATATTTGCAATTTCAAATACAGAAGGATTTTTACATCGGAACTTTAAAGGTAACTGGTATGCTGTCTGTAAAAATCCCTATATGTGGGCACACGACGCATGCCGCCGTGAAACAGGACTTGTTATTAGGTATTGTATTAAATATTATTTTAATAAATCATTTATTTTTAACTGGAATAACAAAGATGCTGACAGTTCACTTGATGGTCAGTGGACATCGTATGTACATGAACAGCCGCATACCACAGTGCTAATACATATGCAGGAATAGTAATCCATTGCTGAAGAATATTGTGTATTTTTTTCTTATCCTTTTATTTTGTTTCCATATCTCATTCTTCAAAATAAAACAAAGCTTACAATGCAATTCAAGGAAATAGGTGTGAAGGGAAACCAATGCAAGTAACTCTGTATAAAATTGAGAATAAATTTAATACTTCTGATATAAAATCTACCTAAGTATAAATAGTGTATTGTTTTAATTTGTAAGTATACCCTTTAGATTTTCTCTCTTTTACTTACAGGCCACCATTCATTCAAGTCGTGCCTATAGATCCACTATTGAAAGTTAATTATTTGAATACAAACCCTAATGGTATGGTACATACAAGTCAATCATGTTTCAATTCATCTGCTATTTATGTGACCTGTCCTGACCTTCTATGTGGAACAAGAATGTTAACAAATTCGCAGTTGATAAGAGAAGTGAGTACTTACTAACTGTACAATCCTATACACAGTATCTATGTAAATAAGATTGCAATAGATGCTCTCTTTTGAAAGATATATAATGTTGTTTAGTATAATTATATACACAACTTTTGATTAGAAATAGATATAAATAATCATTGTTGGGATAATATTAATAGCATAACACGAAAAAAAATCGAGGTTTATTACCAACAATAAATAACCTCACAAAGTATTAATTTAAGTTATTTTTATAACTTAAATTAATAAAACGAATAAGAAATGAACACTATTATTATTTGTATAAAATTTCATGTTTTTATTGAAGGCAAAACCGGTTCTTATATATAGTAGTCACGGCAATTAAACCTTCCTTTGAAATAAACAATAGACTGCAAATTTTATATTTATTATAAAAACATTTTCATTTATCTTTATTATAAAAACATTTTGTTTAACCTTTTCACAGAACGATGCCGCCGAAAATCACCTTTTTGGTCGAAATAAGCGATTTCTTTTGAAAACCCAACCTTACGTTTTTTATAACAATCCATCTAAAGGTCACTTAAGAAATCTTACTAACGTGGAAAATAAATACAGAACACCAATTTTCTATAACAGAAATTCGAAAGGAAATAAATATAATGGTCTAAGAAACAAACGAGCCCAAAGCAGGGTGGTAGGTGGAAAGCCTAGTCAACCAGCAGCATGGCCCTGGATGGCGGCCATGTATAGAAATGGAATGTTCCATTGCGGTGGAGTCATCATAACTCAAAAATGGATCATGTCAGCTGCTCATTGCGTTTATGAGTAAGTTTCTTAAAACTTATAAACATACAAAAAAACTCGACGTATAGACATTACTCCCTTTTTTTCTAAGGATCACTAGATCATCTATATTAATAATTCCGTCAAGGGGTACGGTAGACTCGAACGAAACCTTATGTGAATAACAAAACATAAAAAAATATTGATTTCGAGTCGACAACATATATCCGCAAAATTCGGATTATGGAGTATTTCGTTAAATTCACTCAATACAAAACACACACTGACAAACAAACTGCAATCGCCATCTTTTCATGTCACTAGCTAACAACCAATCAACACTACGCGTGCGTTCGCGCCAAAGATCCATCACAAAGAACTGTGACATATAACATGTGTCGTTGACGTTTCGCGAAAATATAGTTTTTGACAATTTTTTATGATACTCTTTTATCATAAAAAAATTGTCAAAATATGTGTTTTTCTTTAAATTGGCCAATTGCGAGACAAATTTGACAATATTTTTTTATTAATTTGTTTCACGGCTCTGGATACAAGTCCTTTTTAGCCCAACTTAAAGTTTTACAATATAAATTATAAAAATTAAAGTCATTGTCCAATGTCAAATAATAATAAATGTCAAATGTTGTTTCTCTGTTCTGATGAACTTATTAAAATAAACTTAATAACAATCACAATTTCTTCACATTTTATTATTACACACATAATGTATATTGGCATGTATTATTTATAATATTTTTTAAATAAGGTTGTGGCACTATTGGAAATTAATGTTATTTACCTATTTTTATAGGTTATACGGAAATAATGTGTGGGTGTTTATTTAAAAAGCATTAACACAAAATTAATAAAGGTTAATAAATATATGGTTGTTGTATCAAAATAGATTTTGTTATTTTTCACAAAAATAAAGACTAACTTACTTTTTTATAAAACAAATGACCTTTTCATAGTGTCATATATTATTTAACTGATTGTAAGAAAAAAATGTTGGTTTGTAGATTAATACTGTAAAAATTACTATTTGTACGGAAACAACAAAAATATATTTTTATTCTGTATAACACTACAACAGTAGTGGAAACATTAGTATATGTACGTAAATTATAAAATTCTGTTATGGAAACGTCATATTAAACTTTAAAACTAATTTGTTAGAATAAAAGTTTCCGATTGAATAAATCGGTATGGCTACCCCGCTACAGGTAACATTTTTTTTGGTTCTGTTTATCCTTATTCGGAAAGGCAAAGGGAACTGCGCCCATACAGCCGAGGTGGTAACATTATTTGAAAATTTGACATTTAAACCTGCCAATTTAGTCTCCCGGATTAAAAAACAAACTATAACCAAGTATGACACTTACAAATTAATTACTAAGCTACTTGGTGTCCCTGTAGCCCCAAGCCCCGCATGTTTATGGGGGCTCGACCCTAGAGTGGGAGCATAGCAAATGGCTAACGCAGGACGAGAGGGAAGGTTGAAAGGAAGAGAAAAAGAGGAAAAAGGGGAAAAGGACGGTGGTGGATCACGTCGTCGTACTGAAAGAGCGACAAAACTAGGAACTCGACAAATCCCGGAGAGTCGCGCGGACTAAATAAAAAAAAAGAATGTAAAAGACGGGAAAGATGTTTGGATGAAGCAATTGGTTTTAAATATCTTGCAAAATAGAGAGTGCTTAAAACAAAGAGGTTAACAGAGAATAAACCTTAAAAGTATATGTTTTGTTAATTTATTTTGAATGTTGATTTAAAATAAAAATTATTTGTATAAATACTTTTGCACTTATTATTTACTATAGTATTTATTAAACACAATGAACGAAGCTTTACGTATCTCTGACTTGCTTACTTAATATGCTTTAAGAACCGATGACTACAGAAATATCTACCCGAGCGAAGCCGGGTTTTCATCTAGTATTTAAATATTTATGTTATAAAGAAAATATAAATATCTATGTTAATTAGTGGATGACTACCAGTGTGACAGTTGTTTATAAGAAAAAGAGTAGGTGGTATAAATCACAACACAACTAAGATAGGTATAAATAATACATGCCAATATACATAAATATATATAATATATGTACATACATACATATGTAAACTTAATAATACACATATCCTTGGATAGTTTGAAGAGGAAAGAAAGGGGCTATAAGAATAGCAAAACTAGAACTTTAAACGTAGTTTAGAACAATCTTTTAGAATTGTTTTACTACATCATATAACTAACACTGCCTAACTATTATTTTCAGATTTTGGAAACACTACTATGAGATACAAGTAGGAATGCTAAGACGCTTTTCCTTTTCACCGCAAGAACAAAATCATCGCATTACTAATATCATAGTTAATCAACATTACAGTCAAATGGATATGAAAAACGACCTGTCTTTAATGATGGTTGAGACAAGTATTAAGTTTAGTAGATGGGTGAGACCGGTCTGCTTGCCTGGACCCGATACAGCTGGTGCTGATTGGCTTTGGGGTCCAGCACCAGGAACCATATGTACTGCGGTTGGATGGGGAGCAACCGTGGAGCACGGACCTGACCGTAAGTCCATAAATCACATACTTGGCTTAACTATTACTGATACCATTTTAAAACCGATATTTCCGAATATATAATTAAGTATTAAAATTAATATAAGTATTAAAATATACCTAGTTAATTCATGTTTTAATCTAAAAGTAATTCAGGAGATTTATCGTATTTGTTTTCAAGCGTTATGTACAACATTACATACTAAACATACACACACCACATATAACATAATGCATGCATGACATATTTACTGTTCATTTATTTTATCTGAAAGACAATAGAATGAATGATGAATTGAAATTTAATATTGGCCTACTATTATAAACCCCCCCAAAAGTGCGGTTTTCAAGTGTTAGTAATATTTAATTCGAATAATAGAAATTTTAAATACTTTAATAATTTTAGCACCTATTGTTTGTTTGTATATTACCGTTAGATCAAAATAACTTAAATCATATTAACAAAAAAATATATGTATATTTTAGAAAAAAATACTTCATTATACTTTACCTGTGCTCATATATTTGTTTTATTTTATCCAAATTAATTTTTGAGTTTTTGTTTTTTTATATTTTTTACGTGTATATTTTTAAAAGCGGATCATATGCGAGAAGTAGAAGTTCCAATTTGGAGCAACTGTAAACATTCTGAAGATAGAGCTGGAAAAGAAATCTGTGCTGGCCCAGTTGAAGGTGGAAGAGATGCATGTCAAGTAAGTTTAATATATATAAAATATTTTCATATTACGTTATCTCTGTCACATCAATTTCTGTTATAAATCTTCAAATTTGTATTACGTGATTTTAACAATGAAATTTATAATATATGATACAGAGACATAGTATCCTAATTTTGTAATGTCCGTATTATTACTATATTAACCTTAACTTTTGACAAGCTTTAAGGCATTGTTGAGCCTAATTTCAATATCTTAATGGATTGGATGTATTTTAGATATATATATATATATCTAAAATACATCCAACTACCGATTCTCAGCATACATATATATGTATGCTGAGAATCGGTAATTGTACTATATATAAACTTAATTAAGTTTATTATATTAATAGAAATATAGTAAATTAATATTTTTTTTTTAATATTTATAGGGCGACAGCGGTGGACCACTCCTTTGTAGAAATCCTTTAAATGCACAACAGTGGTACGTTGCTGGTATAGTAAGTCATGGTGACGGATGTGCTCGTAAAGATGAACCTGGAGTTTATACTAGAGTCAGTATGTTCATTAAATGGATCAGAAGTAATACTTGTAAGTATTGTAATATTGATATAAAAAAATGAATTTAGTACTGTAACTGAGATTATTAAAATTGAAATCTTTCTTAACTAACTTCTTAAATACAATATTATATAATTTTAGTATCAACTTCTTTACCATCAATTCAACCAAAGCAAGAGTGTCCAGGATATAGATGTAAATCTGGGCTTTTTAAATGTCTTCCCGATAAAAGAGTTTGTGACAAAATTGTTGATTGCCTTAATGGAGACGACGAAATTAATTGCAAAGAAATGAGAACATTCGAAAATATATTATTTAGCAGAACGAGTAATATTAATGAAAATATTATAGATACAAATAGCAAAGTAAAAAAAGGCGAAAATTTACTTTCGAATATACAAGGTAAAAATCTATCTGAAATTAATAATATCGAAAAATATCGTGATTCAAAGGATGATCCGCCTTTCTTAGATGCATCAACAATAGAAATATCGATTTCAAAAAGTTCTGAAAACTCGGAAGAACATGTAACTATGAATCCCGAACAAATTACATTTAGAGAAACAGAAAATACAAATAGAGGAGATATAATGGAATCAAGTAGCATATCATCCAAAGAATCTTTAGATACTTTAACATCAGATTTAGACGAAGAAGTTAATACAGATGAAAATTTTAATGCAACAAATATTGAAATAAATTGGTCTACAAGTACTCCGCAGAATGAATTATCGACTAATACGGTTCTTACTACTACCGTTACAGAAAATAGTCAGCAATTAGAACATAAAACTAACATGGACATACATGCAATACACAAAAATCAATTAAACAGCAACTTAACAGATAAAAATAAATCAAACTTAATTATTACGGAAGTAGAACCTTCAAATCAAAATAAAACACATGACAATGAATTTGAATCTAAATCTTTAATTGTAGAACTTCTTCCAAATATACATGACACATCAAATGTAAAACTGAATAAAATAGAAACTTTAGAAAACAAGGAAAGCAAAACTTTTATACATACTAATAAGTTAAAGAATCCGCCACACGTAGATCACGAAATTGATATTATACACAAAATTGAAGATTTGGTTTTATCGGAACTCCAACCAGCTAAAATGAGAAAGAAACACCGTATTCCTAAAGAATTTGAATGTCGTCAGTAAGTAATCTTATGCTTATTATGTTTTACATACCCTTGTATATTACAGTGAATTTACATAAATACAAGAAAGATAATCAAAACCTACGAAACTTTGTACATATATTATTAATTTATTTTATTTCCGAAGTTTAAATATTACAAAATGTGTTTAATGGGAATTATGTTTATTAGTTTATATATAAGCTTTACATACAAAATTATATTATAATTTCATATAAATTAAATACAAATTATTTACAGTATAAAACAGAATATTCCATATCAGTATCGTTGTGACCACAAAGCCGATTGCGAAGATGGTACCGACGAATTTGATTGTTCTTGCATCGATTATCTTTCAACGTTTGATATGAAACTTCTTTGCGACGGTATTTTTGACTGCGCTGATGGCCAAGATGAAACTGACTGTTGTAAGTACTTAATAACGAGTTACTGTTACAAATAATATTTTTATTATGGCAAGATTTCCAACTTTCCACAATCTAAATAAAATATTACGATTTTTCTTTTCTAAATTTACCTTCACATTTATAAAGATTCTCTTTACGAAATACTTTGTTATTACTATGATAACAATATTAGCCTGAGTTTCTGATATTTCGACGTTCTTTCAAACGTACTTATAGGGGTTGTTCATCGTTTATATAGTACAATTTAAAACAACCACGAAAACAATTTAATAAAACGTTATTCTGTTTTTCTATTTTCAGACAGTTGTCCTGACGATCGATTTATGTGCAGGCAAAGCCGAATTTGCTTACCCATAAAATATGTTTGTGATGGCAAACCACAATGTCCTCAAGGCGAAGATGAATTAGATTGTTGTAAGTAATACTTGAACACAAATGAATTGAATGCTTACTTATTGTATAACGCAAATGCGATTTTGTCCTTATATTACACTCGTATATTATCTACTTAATTAATTAATAGTTACCACACAAGACGGGACTTTATGCTGACTTTATTTTTTGACTACTTTCGCGACTTTTATTTAATAAAATTTACATAAATTAAATATTTCTATAACAAATTTTTCATAAATTTTATTTTCAGTTACTCTTACGAACGGCAAAGACTTGACCTATGAATTTGATGATAGACCAAAAATTAATTTAGAAGGTTTTTTGACAAAGAAATATAACAACGATTGGCATGTTGTTTGTGAGGATGATTTATCAACAGAACAACAGGAACAAACTGCTATGCATATGTGTAGATACTTAGGATTTAGGTAACGTATAATTCGCTTAAATTATTTTAGCCTTACATTATTGTACTCTACGAGTAATGAACTTCTTGCGTACATATATCTTGCAGTATCAGAAGTACTCAAACCTTTCAATTGAAACATTTTGTATGCACAAAACAAATTATGAATTAACTTTAATAAAGCATATTAAAGAAAGCATTATAGAAAGGCTCTTATATAAATCATATAAGGACATTTCTATATTAACAATGTATTACCGAAGTACATGTAGGTATATTAATTTGTTACTCAACAGCATAATATTATAATGATTTGAAAATTTTATTTTCATCTTTTTAGTTCTGCAAACAGATTCTACGTGAAGAACATTAAAGTTAAAAACGAAGACCTTAGGAAACCAAAATACTTATCTAATATACGAGCTAAAAGGGAGATCAAAGATGTGCCCGTTCATTTTGCATTCAGAAAAGACATTGATAAAAATAATACTGCCAGGCATATTATAATCAATGAACCAGAAATAATTAAAGAACAATGTGTACAAAATGTAACACAAACATGCATGTCCCTCTACATATATTGTGATCATTCATTATTTGACTATGAAGTAAGCCAAAATCTTTATAGAGAAGTGGATTCGGTTGCCGACCGAACGTGGCCATGGGCAGCTAAAGTTTATGTAGACGGAAGTTATAAATGCTCTGGTGTACTGGTAGATAAATCATTAGTTTTAATTAGTCATTCCTGTCTGTGGGATTTTGTGTAAGTATAATTGAATACCTTTTTATATTACTTTTTGAAAATGTCCTATAAATTGGTTCATGTAATTTAGCGTAATTACTCGATATTTAATTGTTATGTTAACTTATTTTGTAAAGAAAATTCTAAAAAATATATGTTTTAATTCCAGATTTGAACAACAACATATTTCTGTTGTACTTGGGTCCCATAGAACTTTAAATTCTACCAATGGGCCATATGAACAAATTTACGAAGTGATCTCAAAGACAGAATTGTATCGTAACAAAGTAATTCTATTAAAATTAAAAGCACCAGCGTATTACTCAGCTATGGTGAAACCCATGATTATTAATTCAGCGTAGGTTTTTATTCATTCTATTTTGAATTTTACATTTTTTTTTACATATAGATTTATTAATATTGATTAAATATTCATTAAAAAATATAAGGTAATTACTAAATCTATTTCAGTAATATCCAAGACGAAGATAGTCATATCTGTGTAACAATCGGTCAAGACGAGAATAACTCAACCGTCAGTGCATTTTTAAAAGAGACTAAAGAAAATTGCAGTGCTCATAATAGATGTTTTGTTCGGTTATCTAAATCTAGCATTTGCCCTGTAAGTATATTGTACTATGCACAAAATAACAACCTTATATCTTTAAACACAACTCATTTTTCGTTTACTTTCGTAACTCAATTCACGTTTACTTTGTTTCCTGAAATTTTTTATTACTTGTCTGGGCATTCTAGTTATCTTTGCAATCTTCCAAAATGTTTAATGTTATCCTTACATTAAATGAAACATATTTTTCCAGAAAAGTATTTTAAGTAATTTTCTTCCTCGCAATATCATTTGGTGATTACAGTTATATCTTTATCGTAAGGCCTATTGCTCCAACTAATCCACTTGTATTATTATTAATACGGTTACAGACAGGTATGGTTTCGCATCAGCAATGGGCCGGCATAATTAGCTGCCATACGGAACAGGGGTGGTATCCTGCCGCTTCATTTGTTGACAGCAGAGGGGAATGTGGTCTTGAACAGTATATTAATGCAAGTGCTATCGAAAACATAAAAAGTGAAATTAAACATTTTGGTACGTACATAATTAAATATTCATTATTATTAAAACAATAATTTAATGTTAACATATACGTATATAGACATTAGACACACAAAATAAACTAATATTAAAAGTAAATATGTAATTTAAATTATTATATATACATATGCACCATGTTCCAAAAATAGATAGTACCAAAAATATTTTAATATATGAATGGATTGGATCATTGTTATTACATTTACAGGTGGAAAACCATCTTTTGAGTCTAATAAACATTTAGTCCACGAGACGTGTGATGGTGTAAGGTGCAGCCGTGGGCGATGTATTAAAATGCTTCACGTGTGTAATGGGGTGAAGGACTGCGAAGACGGGTACGATGAGACTGAACAAGCATGTGGGAATAAAACGCAGATATGTCAAAACGACCCACATCATAAGGGATGTGGTAAGGTTTTATATTAAATTTTTGTAGGTAGTTACGAGTATCGTATTACAAAAAGAAAATCAGTAATTTATTCTTTCCATTTTATTTTTAAGAATCAGTACGCACTAAGTATTGAATCCGCCACTAACGTATATTAAAATTAATTATACATTACAATTAATTTTTTGTTGATTAAAATTACCATTGTAATCTAATAAAATCTGTAACAATTAATATACCGTCTATATAACAGAGAATCCTTAAAATATTAGTAGGTACCTACCTATGTAATTTATTCGTCAAACTATATTTTAGCAAGTAATTATTTTGGTAACATAAAATATAATATTATAAACGTAAAAGGTTGGATGAATGCGTGTGGTTTACCTTTATCACACTACTTCATGTATTTTAATGGAAATTGGACAGATAGATCATATTACATTTTAACACAATATAATTTTTACTCGAGTTCACGCAGGCGACATAGGACAACGAGTTCATTAAACTTACATGATAATAACTGCTATACAATTGAATACTATGTAGAGAATAATCATTAAAATATTTTTTCAGGATGTTCCTCCGGGCAATTGAGATGTCATAACGGTAAATGTATATCAAAAGAAATGTTTAATAATGGTCATGATGATTGCGGTGATCGCACCGATGAGCCCGATCACGTGATCTGTTCTCGTTACTTGGCCAGAGTCATGCCTTCAGGATTATGCGACGGTATACTTCACTGCGAGGACAGGAGTGACGAAGATCCGATGTTTTGTAAATGCTATGCAGAAAGAACATATCGGTACGTACTTATAAACTCAAGTAAACTTTGTACACAATTGTTTGCCTGGGTGCCGTCTCAGTTTCACCTATTTCAATTACCAAGCAGCCTGCTTTGTACGATATATTTGGGTTGAAAAGTTGGAGATCAGGCAGTGAAATTATAGAATTAGAGGCATGATATCTTAGTCTTCCGGAAAGGACACGCATAATAACGTGATATGCATAGTACTTATTCATGTAAATAGGCGACGTTTATCACTTACCCTTAATGCACCGTCAGCTTGTTTGCCATTTTAATAATATAAAAAAACCTATTGTACATTGTGTCCGTCTCTGATTAAGCTGTGGTAGTTAGTATTATACTTCATCTCGCCTTCTGATAAATGCGGTTTTACTATCCGCACGGCACAAACACTGATTATACAGTTAATTTTATTTCTACTAGATTAATATTTGTAAACAGATACAAAATTTAAAATTTGAATATGAATTAAATTATTTATAAATAGAAGTAAAATATTTGCTGGAATTTTGAGTAAAAATATTACATACGACTATATAATTGTGGCTTCTTCTATACATTATAGAAGTATTATTCCAGCTCTGTTCATGAATTGGCTTACCCAGAAACTATTATACTTACTACGAGTATAACAGAGATCCCTACAAAGTGTATTTTATTTTTAAACATATTGTCATTCCACTATTCAAGAAAATTAAGTAAACATATGGTACAAAGTTCTTAGTACCTGAATGATACTATCTCTATTTACTAATAAAATTTAAATTGGATATATGACTGTATTGTGTAACATATTGAAAATAGGAGGAGTTTATTATAAGATAAAAGTGTGTGTGGGTAATTAGTGATTAAGATTACATATTTCTGGGTCGATACGAATATTAACGATTACGAACGATTGTGGCAACTCATCGTTTGTTATTTTATTCACGCATTCATTATTATTATGTATTAGATGTTCTAAACAAAGAAGATTATAGCTTTTAAATTAAGAATTAGCCTCTGACATATTCAAACTTTTACCAATCAATCTAGAAAGCATATATTCATATGATTCTGCATTTTAATAATATTGATGTCATTTTATCTAATGCATATAAAAATACCTACATTAGGATAATAATAATGTAAGTAATATATATACCGTCATGAACAGCTAGCTTATGAGCCTGACTTTTTTATACTGAAATATAGAGCAAGCAAGTGTAATTTACTGTTATAAGGCATCTTGAATTAGAATGTATGATAATGTATCGTACCTTATTTACTTACTGCAAATATAAATAAAAAAGTTACAGAAACCAATAGTTCATGTAGCATAGGAAAAATCAAAGTTAAATGGTCATTATAAGGGCCTTCCAAATCTTATTACATTATTATGTTAATGGTTTAGTGTGTTTAGTAGTTTAGTGATTATTTAATCACAGGTCATTAATATGTACATAAATATTATCAAACAATGTATAATGTATTTAAGTTTAAATCATCGTCAAAAATATTTTTATATGCTTTCAATGGAGTCCAATATAAAGAATATAAAGAAATTTGGACTCCATTTAAAGCATATAAAAATATTTTCCAGGTGAAGATATACATCTTCACTTTTAGCAAAGATGAGAAAAGATAGCAAGTTATTTACGTTATGTGTATTCTTTTATAGATGCGGCAAAATAAGTGACGTAGATCACTGTGTGGCTCCAGACATGGTGTGTGATGGTGTGCGGGATTGTCCCAACGGTGATGATGAGACAACATGTATAGGTTTACATGGCCCATTTGGAACACCGTAAGTTATAACCTACATGTATAGTAAACGGATTTTGATGAAACTTTCCAGTAATATAGCTTATACATCAGAAATATATTTGGGCTATAAATTTCATGCGGGTGAAACCGCGAGCACAGCTATTAAGTACATATTTACAATGTCTCATACACTGTAAATTTAAATTAATTATTCATATAATTGTGAAAAGAAAATTAATAAGTCTTCGATAAAAGTTTGAAGATCATGTATGTATTGTACCCGTGGGTATTGTACCCATATTTTAAAATAATAAATTAACAAATTAAATGCTAAATAGAATAGAAAGTCATAAATAATTATAATTTAAGTAATAAATATAATAACAATATACGATGTTCTACTTAGGTATGGCACTGGACAAGTAATTGTTCGATCCCATGGAGTGTGGCGTACAAAATGCTACTCAACACAACATCATACAAAATCAGAACTAGAAGCAATTTGTAAGGAATTAGGCTTTATAAGTGGTCACGCAAAAGAATTTGAACCCCTGGACAAACTTACTCCATATCCACATAACAGCGTTGTGGTGGATTCTTTTAGTACTGTTGTACTAAATAATAACACTACTCTAAAGTTAAGGAATTCTCAAGAACCTTTAGCTAAAGCTAACTTTAATGAGAAATTAGAAAATTGTTACCCAGTTTTTATAGAATGTCTGTAATCATATCATTCAATTTAATTTAAATGCATATGCTCTTATTTATTTGAAATACATTTTATTATTTAATATTTGCATATTTTATTTATACTGTTTAAATTCCTACTAGAATGCATTTTATCAAATATTCTAAAATATTAATAGCTTAATACTTATATACATTTGGCAAAACCCCAGATTTTAAGATTTTCTTACTCAGATATTCTACTTATTTTAGTGTAATTATTCCAAATCATTGTCAAACAGCAAAGTAAAAAATTCAAATATATTAATTAAGCTCGTAATTTAATATTATGTGAACTTCATGTAGTAATCAATATATTTGGTATAACTATATGATCTCTACATTATAGAGTCATCGCAACATTCTTATAACGCCACCTACCGACGTATCAACTGAATATCTTTATATTGCTTTTCGCTTTTATACACATAACCCTATTGAATACAAGTGGTCTTCTTTAGAGCATAGTAAGTCACAGCATAGCAGTTATTTTACAATATTAAATGTACGTACTAGAGGGCGCTTTTTTAGAAGCTACTTCTTTAATATTCTCATGTATTTATTACATTTCAATAAAAAAAGATAGGTGTGTTTTCAGTGATTTTTACGCAGTGTTAATTAATGTTATTGAGAAATTTATTTAAGAATATTATATTCAGTGGATTGCGATATATGTATATACGTCCCTTTTAAATAATTCCGTCTTGTTCTATTTTTTTAGTAATTAAATTATTATCTTTCAATAAAAATATTAGAGTAAAAATTATATATTCGATGATATATAATTTATTAATTATGAGTTTCGAACTTCTGTTTAATAATGACTAATAAAATATATCTTATGATGTGAATATTATTGTAAATAGCACAAATAAGAGAATATTACAGTGAATAGTGAACGAAACCTCATTAAAAGTTATTTTTATAATCAGACCAACATATAATAAATATGAAAATAATCTGACTAGGACGTGATTATTTTAAAATACTACAGGAATCTATAAATTTTTATTTGTGGAATGAAATCAAGTACTTTGTTATTGCCTACAAAAGTAGATACTGTAACCACTTACCTCTCTACCTACTTTCTTTTCAAAGAACACATTATTTATTGATGAACGACGCATGACATCTTAATTCATGTCCTGAGTCCTGAGTTCGTTAATCCTCATTTAATGAAATAAGGTCGATTATAAGATGATAACAAAAATTAAAACATTTCTAACTATTATTTTAGTATATCAAAATACATAATTTAATTGTACCTATATCATACATTCTGACGATATTTAACTTTTTTACAACCTAATATAAAGTAGTACACATCATAATGGTTTTAAATCTTTAATCTAGTACCTCAAAACAGGTTTTACACGTGACTTTTTAATGAAATACAGAAAGTTACAGGTCAGTAAACTTGCTCGGGTTAACATAAGTTCACTATCAAATCGACTCGTTTTGTTAATGTAAGGCTATAAATTAAACAAATTGTTCTCTTCGTTCATATATCAAGATTAAAAATATTATTTAGGTAACATATCAAACATAAAATACTGCTTCTGTCGTTGTATGAAATAAAATTAATCTACATTTAGAAAATAGACAATATTTACACTATCCTGTAATACTATATTATAATGTAATGTATGACTATATTTTTAATGGAAATCAGGATTATGTTTCACAATATAAGACCATTTTATATACATGGTCCCAATTTATCCAAAACTAGAGACAACTTATATTTTGGGTACAAGAAAATACCTGCTTATGCTTTTCTTTATGTAACTAATAGAATAATGCAAATAGATTTATTCATATTTACAATCAAAGATTAAAATTCTGCATTGTGCTGCGATAGTTAGAACGTGAGGTATCCTGCTCAACTACACCAGCAAAGTCTAAATAAAAAAAATATTAATATTATTAATTTATTAGATTTATTTCTGTGAATAACAACTAAAAAAAGACATTTTAAATGGACATTTAAAGTCTACTTATATATTTTTTATATGTACATAAAATAAAAATTGTTGTGTGATAATGTATAATTTTATTTGATTAGTTAAATATTATAATTATCAAGAAAAAAAATTAGTAACAAGCAATTGTGAATTGATATTTTAATATAGACATGCCACTTAACACATTAAAGCTAAAAATACATGATAGGTATCAAAATGACAAACGTTCTTCACAATCAAAACTGACATTTGATCAAAAACCGTGGGAGTAAAATAATATTATATTATAATAATATATCTATTATACTCATATATCTTAATAGAATAAAGCTACTATCAACAAATTTATAATTTATTAATAAGACTTAATTATATTTTTTAATTATTACTTTATTTTATTTATTAACTCTTAATTGCACTAGAACTATATTAGAAAGATTAATTTATATATAAAAAATTACAGGATAAATTTTAATGAAATTTAGTACACAGATAATTTCTATCGTAGATTAACACATAAGATAATTTTTATCTAAATTGAAGCGACCATGATGTAAAATACAACTAGCAATTTAACAAATTTAAAAATAATCATTATCGAATATTGGATCAAAAGAGTCACCTCGAGGTATACATGTGATATTATGATTCACACATTTATTTAACATTTTAAAGAATTAATACAATCAAAAAGGAATCGGAAATTTACATAACGACTAAGATAACACAAAAATGGACCAAAGACGACCAATCACGACAAACCTGATTTGAAATTGCATTAACATTTTTTCTATGCCTGTAAAAAATATACAGGTGTTCATTTAAATAAAACGTAACATCAGCTACAAATCACGTTAAATAAGTGACAAAATTAGTTATAATTAGAATACTTACTTATGACTTGGAAATATACAGTAGAATCGATGTTTAAATATAATTGTATTAAATATTTTTAACATTATTTACAATTGATACACAACATGATAATATTATGTAAAAGATCCCGATATTTCGACGCTGCATCGCGATAGATGTAAATGATAGGTAAATAGCCCGTTTACACAATGTGTTTAATTTAAAATATAATATCATTGCGTTTTTGTTCCTCTTATTTGTGGTAGCTCTTTTATTATTTTCAGGATAGTTAGAGACCCCAGTTACATATTAATGTAAATGTTACTGAACCCCATCATTTCCAATTACATTTTTTACAACACATTACAAAAAATATATTTACTTATAAGAAAATAGCAATGACACTACCTACTAGTTTCCTTCCGTTACGCCAACCACTTCGTTGTATATTGAATAAAAATAATGTTGTTTATATATAATTTCCAATATTATCAGATAATAAAATAAGTAAATGTAAATTTTCCAGTATACATTGTAATGCTCGTTCATTTGTATCGAAAGATTTATAGAAATGTGCGCGGTGTGTCTGGCCAAGTGTATTGTTGTAGTCATACCAATACTTATCATGTGTCATGATGGCCAGTAGCTTTGATGACCTAGCTTACACTTACACTGACCGGGCAGAAACATTTTACTTAAATATTCTGTAAATATTCAAATCAGGATTACTTGTTCACTGTACCTGGTTTGCTGGTGCAACCATGTAAACAGTATGAGAATGAATATTTTCACATTATCTTAAGTCGAGTAATTAAGCTGCAACAAGCTATATTAATATTTTGAGTAATATAATTTTATAAAGATATAAATTTCAACTTATAAATATATTTTGTATTCTTCTCCTTTGGGTGATCTGTGATAAATACCTAGTTAGGGTCTTAAAATAATTACTGTGGTAAAGTAACAGTCATCTCCTTTTTGTGTATTTTGTATAAATATTCCTTTTCAAAATTTATAAATTAACGACAATAATATATATTTAAAAAGGTTTTTACTGTAATCATGAGTGCTTTTATGTTCATTCTTCCTGCCACTCCACGTATTTTATATAAATACTAGTTATTTGCAGCAATTTCGTGTGTTTCAATTAAGATGAACGATAGCTGATGTTCATCCTCGTGGTACAATCTATCTTCATGACAAATTTGATTAAGAACTGTACAACCGTTTACTACTAAAATGGTAACAAGTAAACAAATAGACTTTCGCATTTATATTCTTAGTATGAATGTGTGTATAATGTGGATAATTTTATCGAAAAGCCGCTTTACCTTAAACAAAACTTTGAAGAAAACCTGTCTAAGGATAACAGTTTCTTACTTATAACATTCCAAAGTTATGTCATATTTACGACAAGAATAATGTAACATCACAAAACTTTACAACAGATAGTATAGTGACATAGCAATATAAATAGCTCGCGGAAACGAGGATGTATTTATGATTTACAACTCTCAATATTTACAGATTAAACTAAGATCACTCTGGCAAATATTTGATTGCGACATAGGATCCGGAACAGGAACCTATATTTATAGTTTATTTAGTATAGGTACGTATGGAAGAATTTATATAAAAACTTATCGTTTGGGATTCCGCAAATATAAGTTATTGATAAAATAATATAAGCATAAAATATGTAGTTTTGATCAAAATATTACTTAAATATAAAAAAACTAACGTCTACCATTCTCACAGTTTTAAATATAATATGACATATACTTATTAACATACTGTAATAGGTGATAAGTCTTGTATATTAACTATAATTAGCTATATTTAGATAAAAAACAGAATAAAAGAAAGGAAAGAATTTATATCTTTCTATGTACCTGCTAGTCATTATACTTATGTACTTTTACATAATTGTAGTGTATATACAGTCAAGATTATAAATACTTTATTACCTTCTTTATGGTCCTTTACAAATTACTAGTAACAATAAAGTAAAACAGTATAAGTTTAAACAAATTTAATAGTTAGTTCAGTAATAATTTGTAAATAAAGAAGTTACAAAATTATTATCAAAATTACTAAAGATTAGCGAAAACGGCCAGTATGTTACATGAGTACGCGTTAAGAAAATACAAATGGCAGAAAAACATCACAACATGAATTAT